TTTTCCTTTCTCTTTCATTTCCTTTCCTTTTCTTTCTTTTTTTTCTTTTCCTTTCTTTTCTATTTTCTTTTTTCTTTTCTGTTTCCTTTTCTTTTATTTCTTTTTTCATTTCCTTTCTTTTCTCTTTTCTTTTGTTTGCTTTTCTTTATCTTCTTTTCTCTTTTCTGTTTTCTTTTCTCTTTTCCTTTCTCTTTCGTTTCCTTTCCTTTTCTGTCTTTTCATTCTTTTCTGTTTAGTTTTCTTTTCTCTTTTTTCTTTTCTCTTTTCCCTTTCCTTTCCTTCCATTTTCCTTCCCTTCCCTTTTCTTTCCTTTCGTTTCCTTCCCTTCCTTGTTTTCCTTTCTCTTCTTTCATGTCTTCTTTTATTTCCTTTTTTCTTTTCTTTTTTTTGAGACAGAGTCTCACTCTGTCGCCTGGGCTAGAGCGCCATGGCGTCAGCCTCACTCACAGCAGCCTCCAACTCCTGGCCTCAAGCGATCCTCCTGCCTCAGCCTCCCTCCCGAGTAGCTGGGACTCCAGGCATGCGCCTCCACGCCCGGCTCGTTTTTTATATATTTTTTTAGTTGGCCAATTAGTTTCTATTTTTAGTAGAGACGGGGTCTCGCTCTTGCTCAGGCTGGCCTCAACCTCCTGACCTCGAGCAATTAATCCTCCTGCCTTGGCCTCCCTGAGTGCTGGGATGACAGGCGTGGGCCTCCGCACCCAGCCGGCCACCTGGCTCGGTGCCGGGCAAGCTCGGAGGTCAGCGGGAGGGAAAGAAAAGACGCCGAGCGCTGAATCAACCAAGGAAGTCTCCCTGGAGGAGGCGAACTTAAAATCATGGACATATTCTCAGTCCTCAGTCCGTTTTCTCCTTAAAAGAAAAAAAAGAAAAAGAAAGAGAAAATACAGGCTGGAACAATGGTAGGGGGTTATCAGAACTTATTAACATTAGTGTCACTAAAGTTGGTATTCAACCTCTCACTGCTAAATTTGACTGGCTTTAAGAAAAATAAATAAATTAATTAATTAAACTAAAAAGAAAAAATACGGAGAAAATGATCAAGTATAATTTTTCTTATTTAAAAAAATGTAAAAATAAGAAAAAAAATGGACATAGGCCAGGGCGTAGTGGCTCACACCTGTCGTCCCAGCACTCTGGGAGGCCGAGGCGGGAGGATCGCTCGAGGTCAGGAGTTCGAAACCAGCCTGAGCAAGAGCGAGACCCCGTCTCTACTATAAATAGAAGAATTAATTGGCCAACTAATATATATAGAAAAGATTAGCCAGGCATGGTGGTGCACGCCTGTCATCCCAGCTTACTCCAGAAGTGAGGTGAGCGGGAGCTCGTTCGAGGCCAGAGCTTGAAACCAGCCTGAGCAAGAGCGAGACCCCGTCTCTACTCAAAATAGAAAGAAATTAATTGGTCAAACAAAACATTTATAGAAAAAAAAAATGAGCCGGGCGTGGAGGCGCATGCCTGTAGTCCCAGCTACTCAGAAGGGAGGCTGAGGCAGGAGGATCGCTCGAGGCCAGGAGTTGGAGGCCGCTGTGAGCGAGGCTACGCCCACGCGCTCCACTCCAGCCGGGCGACAGAAGCGAGACTCTGGTCAAAAACAAATAAATAGGGACGTAATTCCGAGAAGGGCCCCGGCTCCGTCTTCCTCAGGGTCGCGGGAACCTCGTGGCCCGTCCAGACCAGCCGCCTGTCCACGCACCTGCACGTGTCCAGCGCCCGGGGTCCTGCCCGTCTCCATGAAGGCCTTCTGGCCAGCCCTTGTGCGCGTCTTCTGCTCGCCAGGTGAGCCTGCCCGTCCTCACGCAAGGGGAAACTGAGTCGCAGGGAGGGCGTCGAAGCGCAGCTCGCCTGGCCTCGCGGCCCTGCCCCGCACTCACCCGTTCACTCAAGTGATGACATTTCAGCTTCTTTTTATAGTGACACAGTCTCGCTCCGTCGCCCGGGCCGGAGTGAGCGCCGTGGCGTCAGCCTCGCTCACGGCAGCCTCCAGCTCCTGGCCTCCAGCGAGCCTCCCGCCTCAGCCTCCCTCCCGAGTAGCTGGGAAGACAGGCGTGCACCACCACGCCCGGCTCGTTTTTTTTTTTTTCTATATATTTTTAGTTGTCCAGCTCATTTTTGTCTATTTTTTAGTAGAGACGGGGTCTCTCTCTGGCTCAGGCTGGTTTCAAATCTTGACCTCGAGCAAGCGATCCTCCTGCCTCAGCCTCCCTCCCGAGTAGCTGGGACTACAGGCATGCGCCACCACGCCTGGCTCGTTTTTTTTTTTCTATATATTTTTAGTTGTCCAACTCATTTTTGTCTATTTTTTAGTAGAGACAGGGTCTCGCTCTTGCTCAGGGTGGTTTCAAACTCTTGACCTCGAGCAAGCGATCCTCCTGCCTCGGCCTCCCTCCCGAGTAGCTGGGACTACAGGCATGCGCCACCACGCCCGGCTCATTTTTTGTATAT